CAGGGTGGGTGTCAGGAGGATGGGGCCAGACTCTTTCCAGTGGTGCCCAGCGACAGGACAAGGGGCAACGGGCACAAACTGAAGCAGAGGAAGTTCCAGCTGAACATGAGGAAGAACTTCTTCCCTCTGAGGGTGACGGAGCCCTGGCCCAGGCTGCCCAGGGAGGCTGTGGAGTCTCCTTCTCGGGAGATATTCCAGCCCCGCCTGGACGCGGTGCTGTGCAGCCTGCTCTGGGTGACCCTGCTTGGGCAGGGGGTTGGACTGGATGATCTACAGAGGTCCCTTCCAACCCCGATCATGCTGGGATTTGGTGATTCTGCTCTGTAGAAAATTCCTGGCTTATGTGGACTTGGAGCGGGAACAGGCTTTCCTGTTCAGCTCCAGCAGTGATCATTTGCCACTGAGGCCGGAAGGCCTTTGCTTATAGTCCGCCTCTGCTTGCTATTCTGAATGAAAACCTGCTTTGAAAACCTGGGAAAATAGAGTTAAAAATGGTAAAAGAAGGACAGCAGTAAGGAGAACGAGCGGCCAGCCAAAGAGAGGGGCCTTGTAACTTGGTCATGCACAAGAAGTCACCGGGGAAATACAACCCTGAGGAAGGGGAGCTGGCATACAGAGAGAATATAACAAAAACGGTGAAGAGGAGGGCGCAAAGTATGCACAATTGTCTGCCTGGCTGTTACTGCAAAGTTATTTACTTCATTTCTGTGCTGCAGAGGCAGGGTTTTCCCTTAGCTTGCCAGTGACAACTACTGGAATTGAAGACGTGGACTTCGATTCGTGTGAATGTGTTTATGGTTTCTGTTTAGGATATGAGCAAACACGTTTTACATGTGGTGCTATCTCCCTCCTCACATGTGCAGGAGTAAGTTATAAAATTAAACACTGTTGCTAGAATGCTTTTGGAGAAAGTGTTTCATTATACAAGGGGTCGCTTGCCACACTTTTGTTTCGCTTTTCTGAAAGTTACACAATTTCCATTTGATTATTGATAAAAATAAATCTGTTGAGTTTTAATTTGATGCAGGATGACTGGAACACTTCATTTGCCAGTAATTACAGTAACAATAATTTCAGTCTAAACTGCTTTTTTTTCCACAATTTATCTGTTGTTGTCTAATACAAATTAATAAAGATTGAAAGGTACTATATTCTAAATGTCGGTGAAAACACTGTCCCTTAAATTACACAGAATTAAGCGCTTGTCAAGACGTTTATGAAGGAATAAGTGCTTTAGATAAAGGCAGTGAGTTCTGCCACAGATAACCTCTGCTTTTAACAGTGATGTTATGTAGGTACGATGTTGAGCTTATTTCTTTCTGAATCATGTTGTCTTAGCTGGCGGTGTGTGTAGTTGTGTTCATTGTAGCGCTGTGGTTGGAGTTCACAGGAAGGCTGCTCTGCTTTAGAGGTGTCGAAGAAATTGGCGTTGGCACATTCATACAGATTTGTTTTCGCACCTGTAGCATTCTTTTTTTTTAAATAGCCCTCCCTCTCTAATTAAAGATGTATTCTCCCTCCATCCCCTGCTGGGTTGTGGCAATTGTATGTAATGCTTAATCATTTACCTTCTAAAATTATTGCAAGATTGTTAATCCTATCGATAGATTAAAGATTTAGTCAAGTAGCGCAGTGAACAAGTGTCAGAGACTTGCCTGAAGGCCTCTCAGACCGGTAGGTGATGAAAACATCGACCTGCTGTTTTTTGCTTCATATCGTGACTGACCAACGAGCCTGGCGTTTAGTAGCTGGTGCTGTTCTTAGTGATGACTTCTCCATCTTTTATTGCATCTTAGAAGTTCGTTTTCTGGATTAGAAATGAAGAGACTGGAAGAAAAAAGGAAGAAGAGATCTTGTTTAAAGTTAATGTACATATCATGCTGCCAGATTAGTTAGAAATGTGGATTCATTTTTTAGCTGAATTGCAGCTTTATGCTACACCCTACACTGTATTTCTTTTAGTCACGAGTGTTTTGTGTACTTTCAGTTTTTCCAGGCTGTGTACGGTGTGTGCCACGTTTCTTAGTGTGAATTTTATCTGTAGCTTGACACTGCTCTCTGCTGCTCCGTTTCATGCTTCGTAAGTATTAGAGTAAAACGGTGTGCTCTGCCAGTGAGACATGACTGTCAGAATTCTATTTTGTGTAAAAGGTCCCAATAATTGCCCGATTTTCTTAGAGGTCAATTGATAAGCAAACTCAATATTTCTGGAAAATCATGATTTTTTTGTATCTTCTAATAAAGTGCTCTTTTAGCAGTGTGTTCAGCACTCTGAAGCATAAGAGTTGCTGCTGGTTTTTGCTGGGTCCCTTTAGCTGTATGCGTGTGATCCCGTGCAGTCGTGTGTGATTAGGAAGTGCCCTCAGAGAGGGCAGCGGAGGGGTCTGGGAGCAGCCTCAAGTAAGAGTCTGCTTTGGGACAACGTACGCCCCTGAAGAGTTTCCATGTTTATCACCCCTCGCCCCCTTTTCGGCTGTGGCTGGGTTACACCTTTCCAATGAATGAATGAAGATGACTAAATCCTCCAAAACGTAGAAAGTAAATGGAAAAGTAAGGTTGAGGGGTTTTTGGTGTTTTGTTTTAATTCCTCCCTCCCTTCCTCCCACCGTAGGTTGTGGTTCAGAAATTTTTCTCCCTTTGTAGAATCATGGCAAGTCCAAGAACAAGGAAGGTTCTCAAGGAAGTCAGAGCACAAGATGAGAACAATGTGAGAGAACTATAATCTTTAGATTAGTTTTGTAGAATTGAATTTTCTTTTTATGTACTCCAGGTGTATGTTGCAGCCTGCTACAGCTGTCGTCTTTATAGCACTAGTACGGCTAACTAACGGTAACGGAGAAATGTGGGTATCTCATATTTGTGTTGGAACCAGTAACTTTTATCCATATGTGTATTATAATACACTACTGCCTACTTGGCACAAGTCTTTCAGAAGTTCTGGCAATGCTGTAACCCCTCGAGTCTGTTGAGCAAGTGATGTCTTGGGCACGGCTTAATTAAAATGGTCTATTTCAAGTAGCTTGATTATACGCTACCTTAAATGTGATAGCCCACATACAGGTTCAGTTTTATTTATATCAATGCATTAAACCTTGAATGGTGATTCTGGTTGGAAGAATTTAAGTTGTTGCCCTGTGTGAGCAATAAAGCTATTTATAAGAAAAGCCTCTGTTTAGATCTGCTATCATTTACTGCCAAACTGTAGTACGAGTGAGTAAATGTTCCATACTTTGAATGATGCATGTTTATTTTGTCAAGGAAACTTCAAGAATTCAGTTTGGTTACTTTCTCCTCCTTCAAGACAGTATGGAAATGAAATCAAGTTGAATTCTTTTCTCATTAATTTCAACTCACTCAACTATATTATCTCACTGGTTTTTGGTAGTCGGTACAGTAATTGTTGTAGTGCAAGTCAGGCAAGTTAATGAGTATTTCTTTCCATGCAGCATAAGTAAGTATTTGAAGGAAGCTTATGCTGTCAGGGAAGGTGTTTCCGAACACTAAGAACTCTCCCTTCAGAAATTATTTTCTAGGTGTAACGTTTTCATGGTTTGACTTTTTGAGCTGTACTGTGAGAACTTCACACAGACAAGTGATGACTGAGTGTTAGAGAGAATTGTTTCTCTTTTGCAGGTCTGTTTTGAATGTGGTGCATTTAACCCCCAGTGGGTGAGTGTGACCTATGGAATTTGGATCTGTCTGGAGTGCTCAGGAAAACACCGAGGCTTGGGAGTTCACCTCAGGTCAGCCTTTCAAGCAGACGATGGACTGAGTTGGGTCACCTCAGGGTGCATTATGGCTGCGAACGGAATGTGTTGTTTCGGAAGGGTATAGAATGTCTCAATTCCAACATTTCATTGGCAGCTTTGTAATTAGTCGGGGTGTGTGCTGTGCCAGTGTAGCTGTGTTATGCCCAGTTTTAGAAAATAACGTCTCTAGCTACATCTTGAGGCTGAGCGGTGGCATTTGGTAATACTGCACTAGTCCTTGTACTTTGTTTTAATCTTATGTAATCTGTCTTGATTAAAAACTGAAGTAGTGCTAGAGCAGCTTGAGGGTTGAGCAAAAAAAGTCCCAGGATGCTCACAGAATGTTTCTGTAGAGTGTGCAAGTGTATAACACAGTTTTATTCTGTTCAGGAGATTTTTTTTTTTTTTTTTTTTTTGGTAATGGAAAAGATATTTTATATTTTTTCCAAGAAACACGCTCAACTAAGATGGCAGTCTATGGAATAAGAACTGTTCCGTGTTCCAGAGACTCACAGCGTGTGTATATATAATAGGGGCAGAGCATGGGATAGTTACTCAAATGAGAAAGGAAGAGAAAGTCCAGGAGGCACATCACCAAAGCAAGGAGGCCGTTCAGAAGTACGTGCTTTGCTTTTAAAGGGGTGATTTGAAGCCCATTAGTGAGTAGAAATTGCATAAGAAATGAGAATTTGGAACTATTCCATATATTAGATGAAAGAAAAAACGAAATCACAGAGATGAGGGTATGATGGAAGAGTATTCCTCTAGGGACACAAAGAAAGAATTTGGTCAAGATACAAGTTTTAAAGAGGCGTTTTGAAGATGGTGTCTCACTTTTCCCACCCGTGACCTTGTATTTAATAACAGGGCACTGTTTAGGTTTGGTGGCATTTTTTTCTGTTTTAACATATAGTTGAATGAGCAGTAGCAAGAATTTGTGGCTCAAAGCAGAGTTGAGGTGCTAACTGCAGTCATAAATGCCCTGGGATGCGGTCATGTTGTAGGGTAGGCTATTTTAAACAGTCGCGCTGTCAGTGCCTGATGCTCTTCATGAGCAGAAGCATGGAGTGGGACAGGAGGTGTCCTCTCAGGTCACTTCAGTGTAACTCTGAAAATAGACAGGAAAAGAAAATTGAAGAATGAAGAAGTATGGAGAAAGTTTCTTTATATAGTGAGTTAGGTTAATTTCTGGACTTGAAGAAAGCTGCCTTTTCCGTCACTTGCCTTTTCTTGACTGTCTCCTTTAAGTGCCAATAAATGGCATGATTTTAGCTTATTCCAGTGAGGATTTCACCACCTTCTTATGATGATCTATCTTTCTGTACTTGGAGAGCGTTCTCCAGCATATTTATTCTCCCAACTTTTGAGACAGGTTGCAAAAAGCTTGCTTTTTTTTTTTTTTTTGAAAGGAAATTATAACAAGCTGTGATTTTAATTTTTTTTTTTAAAATGGCCTTTCAGTTTTGTACGCTCTGTAACTATGGACAAATGGAAGGATATTGAGCTGGAGAAAATGAAAGCTGGAGGTAACAGCAAATTTCGAGAGTTCTTGGAGTCTCAAGATGACTATGATCCCTGCTGGTCGATGCAAGAGAAGTACAACAGCAAAGCTGCGGCTCTTTTTAGAGATCGGGTACGTTCAGTTGAGTTTGTGTCCTCATCCCCTACTATGTGAAAATATGAAAGCTCTTTGTAAGCACTTGTTTTTTGAAGAGAGGAGAGGGAAAGTGACAGCCTTTTGAACTTCCGCAATGGTTCTTGAAAGGGAGAAGTCTTCGAGTGTTTATTCCCAATTCTTGTAAGAATTATCTTTAGAAAGTTTCTTTTCTGTGTTTAGCTGTGGTGGCTCAGATTTTCCCTGCTGCAGTTGGTTGCAGTCAGTCAGTCAGCAGAGCTGTCCCAGTCTGCAGTGGACAGTTTACTACTTTAGCAGCACGGTTTTATCCAAAGTGATTGTTGATAGATCTTTTGCGTATGTAGTAATAAAACGGTAAGTTAATTTGCCAAACACTTTAAACAAATGAATTAATAATTGTAATGGCATTATAATTTTGTGGAGGTTTGGCATTTCCAAAAATGAAATGACAAACAACTTGAACTTGTGAGCTTAGAGACTTGAAAAGATACTGTATTTTTATGCTGACCCTGCCATGGAAGTGGTAAGAAGGGACATCGTGTGCTCACTGGGATATCCATGCAGCTTTGAAGTTTGTTGTTCGTGTTGTCTCCTTGCATCGTTAGAAGTTGCCTGGAATAGGAGACAGTTGGCTAAGGTGGAGTATCGTGATGAAAGCAAAGAACTCAGAAGTTCTGTGCTGTAGACCTTTTAGTGAAATGGGAAACTATAGAGTTTCTGTGGCGAGGCCTTTGGAAATTTTGTATTAACTTGCTGAAGTTATGACTTGGAATGGAAGAGTGGTGTGGGGTGAAGAGATGAAGTTCAGGTTCTTTGTTTGAAGGAGGCAGAACATTTAGATCCTGTGTAAGTGTTTTAGCTGCCCGATGCTACAGTATAAATCTGCCTCTTTCTATTCCTCCATTATGCTGTGATTATGGTTACATCTCTCTAATAATCTAATCTTTCCTCTTCAAATCAAATTTGCCTGTTTGAACAAGTTGCCTAGAATCAGTTGCCTGACATAGTCAGTGTTCAATTCAACATTACTAGCCTTAGATTCAGAAAAAAAATTGGTTTCTTGCGAAAACAAATTAATTGATGTATGCAGCCAGCAGCAAATTGGAAAAATACACACTGGTCCTGTAAAGTGAGGACAAGTAACTTCTATGAAAACTTTGACCTAGCATTCCTGATTATTTTCCTACCTCTTCTAGGTAGCTACAGTAGCTGAAGGCAAGGAGTGGTCCATTGAAACTTCTCCTGCGAGGAACTGGACCCCACCTCAGCCTAAAACGTCTCTCTCTTCCACTCATCGGTATGTATTCTTGTTACCTAATGTTGATACAGCTACAGCAGGCTCAAAACCTGGTGTTTGAATGTCTGCTGGTTTTATTCTGTTGATGGTGTTGTCTGAACAAGTATTTCTCTTGCTGGAGTTAAGGAATATGAGGTAGCAGGGCTTTAATTTCTGTAGTAATTCCCACCTGAACCTTAAACCATGGCAGAGAGAAGTGAGTAAGAGCAGAGGACAAGTCATACTGGTTTTTGTCATGTAATGCAACTGAGACTGGTCCTTGTGTCAATCCCACATCGTGGGTCAGCGCCTCGCCTTCGCTGCAGTGGTGTTCCAGTTCGGGATTGAATGCCAGGGAAGAAGAGACAGGCTTTTCCTTATGTTGCTAATTACTAATGGGAGCATCAAAGCTGGACCACAGCAATTTTGTTTCCCTGCTTTTGCATGTAGTGTTTGTTATTCCTTGCACTAAAGAATCAAGTTAACTGAAAAAGCAGCTGTGAATCAAGTGAACAAGCGCTTCGTGCCTGGCCATTACCCAGCAAGTTCAGGGGCTAGCTGTAGTCTGAGCAGCACGGTCTGAGTCTGGGTCTGTTGCGTTACTCATTCAATACTCCAGTGGCTTTTAGTGGTTGCATTAGAGTTCTCTACTTGACAGACGAAAGAAATAATCAATTTTGCACCTGTATGATGATGATGATGTATGTCAAGCTGCACTGCTGAGCTGGTGGTTTTTGCTGTATGCAGTTTGAGTCTTAAATCTTTCATTTCAATAGTTCTGCTGGACAACCTCAGACTGCGACTGCCTCTTCTGACAAGGCTTTTGAAGACTGGTTAAATGATGATGTCAGCTCCTACCAAGGGTAATGCAATATTTATTAACTTTTTGAGTGCCTCGCCCTCTCACATAACAAAGACTCGAATGTTGCGCTGCAGCTACACAACTGTGATCCTCATTCAGTAGTTAACAGTTACATCTTGTTTACTATTAAAAATATTTTGATAATGTATGATAAAGGGTAAGAGGAAGGAAGGTGCCTCATACCGTATTTGTATAACAGAAATATTTGAATAGCATCAAATAAAGATTTTGTAACTCGAAATGTTACAGTGGTGGGCTCTAAATTAGGGAATTTTTAGTGTGTAAAGTATCTTGTAGTGATCTGAGTTAAACAAGGGTATTTGTAAAGCCTACACTGTTTTCTTCTTTCTTTTTTTTTTTCCCATTTTCATGTAGCACTTTATTAGGATTTACTCAGACTTCTGATATCAGTGATCCATTAAACCTGGAGAATCTTTAAGACCACATCAGATTGCATAGGGCACACTTTAATTTGCAAGGGTTCACCCGTGGATCCTTGTTGGCGTTAGGTCTTTATGAAGTGAGTGGGTTTGTATTTTGGGTGCTAGGTGCTTTTAGGACTTTTCTTTCCAGGTGTGTTTTAAAGTCTGTTAAACAATTGTCGTTCTTTCATGCGTTTCAATCTTTGTTTAATGGTTTTATTGAATGGATGCTAATACAGATACTATTTATTCGTTTTCTTATGGTAGCGGCCAAGAGAATCGCTATGTGGGGTTTGGAAACACGGTAAACCCTCCAAAAAAAGAAGACGACTTCCTGAATAATGCTATGTCTTCGTTGTATTCGGTAAGGAAATGTTTGAAGCTTTCTGTGACCTGAATTACTATTTTATTCTATTTTATCCCCTGTTACAGGAGAATATAAACGGAGAAGAGAAACTAAAAGACTGCAGTAGATACAGAGAGATACAGACTATTGGCTGTATTCTCAAACAGTAAAGAAGATACTGGTAGACTTCAAAAGGCAAAATGAAGGGAGAAACTTGAGCAAAACTTAGGAATTATGTCTGGTATCCATTCATAGAAATAAATAAGAATACAACAATGGATTAAGAGCTAACACTTAACAGGGCTTGAAGAAAAAAAAGTTAATTACCTGTTGGGAATAGCAGTTAGGCTGGTAATGCTCTAAATAGATTAACTGTATTAGGTATGTTCAGTGGAAAACAACTGAAGTGTGTGTGTACATGGGTGCCAGAAGCCCTGAGCAGTGATGAAAACATTTGAAATCCTGGTGACAGGGTGTGAAGAGCTAACAGCATATGGTTGAACAGTTGTCATGCTTTGAGTAGAGACAGTGAAAGACGCATTGTTGAAGGAAAATGGGAATAAGTCGGAGGCAGTCAGGGACAGATTGGTGCTTCGATAGGCTGCAAAGTAACAGTGCTGAAAAATATTTGGGATTTGGTGTCACTGTGAAAATACAGTAAGGTTTTCTACCAGAGTTAGTGGCCAGTAGTCTTCTGTGGAGCCTCATTGTCTAAATATCCACACCAGGTTCCATTGTTTGTTTTTTTAAAAAAAAGACAATTTCATTAGAACATAATAGAAAAAGGTAATGCCTGAGCCTTTGAACAGTATTCCAGGTGATCCCACAGCATGCTTCGTATCGGTCTGCTGAATGTTTTCCAAGTATGTCATAGATTGTAGGCCAGAGCCTGCAGATCAGAAACCACATCTATGACATGCTGTGGATGCGTTAAGACCGCAAAGGAGAGATGACACTCTGTGTGTGCTGTCAACCGTTATTTGAATGCATGATCTCACTGGAACTTATGAGTAAAATGCCCTCTTGTGACCACAGATACACACTGCAGTGCAATTTTAAATCATTTATTAGTGAGACTAAATGTTTGCATGCATATTCATCGTGGAGAGGAAAACAAATTTTCCTCCCACTGTGTGTGATGGTTTTTCCCCGCACATGCCATATTTATGTATATACATTATTGTCTGCTGTTCCATATCAGAAGCAGCACTTTCTGTAGAATTCACACAGACAACACTACTCAACTCATTTTGTATAGAACAGATGTAATTGCAGTTTAGGTTTGTCTTGAGTCTCTCGAGACTCTGCTTAACATAAAAACTACGAGACACATCATGTTGCCTTTCGTGCAATAGTGACATTATTATATTTTTAGGGTGTCAGCATAGGACAAGAAAGACAATTAATGAAGAGACTCCAAAAGGATAGGCAAAGAATACTTTTTGCTGCTTTTTTTAAAAGACATTCCCTCAACCTAAATATGTGGTCTAGGCAAATTGTATAGAACAGGTAGTGAGAAGAAGGTTCAGCTATTTATGGCTTTTGTATGGATTTCTACCCAAAAGGCAATATGTTACCAAAGCATCCACACTTCAATGGAAATCGAGTTGATAAAAGGCAGCGGTAGACACGGATATTAACCTTGCATTGGTAGCGCCACGTTTAAAAGATTCTGCAACACAGATTACAATTATGTAGTGATGATCTGCAAAGAAGAAAAACTTAGGTCTGTTTCTTCATTCAGTGTATACAAGGAGGACCACAGACATGTTAAAGTTTATTTCTGTTTTTTATCTGTTCAAGTATGGTGGGTTTTCTCCCAGCTTGTTTTACTGGGCAGATTCTGGATGAGTGAGTTACTAACAAGAACTGACAGTGGAGAAGGGATTATTTTTTTTTTTTTAATTATTTTCTTTAAAAAAAAAAAGATCATTAGACTCGCTCTCCTGCTCCACTTTCTTTTAGCTGGTTTTGTAATCAGTACCTGACAATCTGTAGTTAAAAGAAACCTTTTCTGATTCATTAGAGAAGAGTCTTCTAAGAAGTGGCCAAACCTTGATTGTGGCAGTAGTTTTCAGATCTTTCAAGAACCAATGGGGCAAAATAGAGCTTTGTTTCTCTTGCTTTTAAAGATAAAATTTGCAAGAAACAAGCAGTTTGATGCTTTATTACAAAAAGGAGAATTGCTGAACAGGCATTTTAGGAGTTGCTGCCTCATGTTTTTGAGCACCAATTCTTGATTTCTCTTCAGCTTTTTCCAGGCGTACATTTTAGTTGCTCTTTGGGTTTTTTTTCCATCCAGTGCTTACTTGTTGAAGAGCCCATCTCCGTTTATTAAAGTTTTAATGTCTTTTTTTGTTCTCTTACTTTTCTGAGGGGAGGGGGAGAAATTTTTTTCATGTAACCATTATTAGTAGAGTGACATCTGAATCCCTCAGGTTTGTTCAAATTGCAGCCGTTGTGGCACAGATAATGGAAGTTCATTGCTGTATTACAGTTAAGCGAGAGACTCTAATTTTTGCTTGTCCTAGCAAGCTGTACTGGTGAACATTTTGACTTAATTTAATAGGTAATAGTGAACACTTGGTTATTCACTATTATTGTTCACGCATAGCTTACCACATTCTCACTTTCTTTATAGGGATGGAGCAGTTTTACAACTGGAGCAAGCAAAATTGCCTCAGCTGCTAAAGAGGGTGTAAGTAAACAAAAAGTATTTCAGTCTAATTCTTGTAAACTCAGAGATTCTGTTAGTGTTCTGATAGGGCTGTACCTTTGAAAGCATTACCAAGACAAACAAAGCTCTGCTCTTTGTGTATCTTTGCCTATGGCATATAAAATAGATGCACATTGAATGCAGACTCTGCCTTGACTGTTTCTCATGTTTCTGGATGGACATTTTTGTAAATTTATCCACAGGATGCAAGCATCAATAAAGAACCCAATAAAAATTTTTGTTTATTGCACATGCTTTGGTCTGTACCAAGTCAGGCCAAATTGCATTCAT